GAAGGTCGTCAGTTTGTATGTGACTGAGTCGGTTAAAGAACTACTGGGGTTCAGTCACTGTGAGCTGTTGCTGTTGGAAGCCTGTGGCTGCGGCCGGGGACACTTCGGGAGTCCACGGGAAGGGGAACGTCCGCCACTGAAAGCCGCAACAAAGCAACGGCAGTAAAAGTGTGATTGGGCACTAGTGTGTATGTGTGTGTGTGTGTGTGTGTGTGTGTAATAGTGAACTGTGAATTGTGGTGACGCGCTATAGCAGAAGGTCCAATAAATCCGGCTATAGTCACACTGTATAAAATCGTGTCTGCCGGATTATGACTAGTGTCGAGAACAAGAAGAGATGGAACTATACATGCATTCTCCTGAAGGGACTATGAATATGAGGGGTGAGCCATAAAATTTGACCTAGCACTGTGACCTTCAATGATCTATTGTGCTTCCCCTTTGGATTAACCCTTTATTAATCTTACACTTCGAATGAAATGTAGGACAAACTTGACTCGGGATGAGCGCTATCTGAACAAAGACTCGAACCGAATACTTCCCTAACACCAATGCAGAATTCTTTACTATCTAGCCTCTTCATTTTTACCGTATCGATTTGTCTGATCGTCCTATAATATTTCACTGTGCTTCGAAGCAACATATTCGAAGTTCGCGGTTGCAACACATTACAATCAGTCACGGCCCACATTTGTGTATGCAGGTAAAACAAGACATGTCAGAACTGATAGTGTAACAGTATGGTCATAATTGGGGGTCGAAAAACCTAGAAAGAATTCTGCAGAAGTAGACGGCAAGCACACACTTCGATCATGACGATGGAGTCAGTATGCACCCCGAAACATAGGCTCCCTCCGAGATACACGCCTTACAATAACCGCTTACAGCATCTCGGTCTAAGTTATCTTCTACCGAAAAGTGGGTCATCAGGAAACTGGACATAACACGCGAAAACCGCAGCGACATCCTTCACTAGAGACTGGAGATTATGCCTTTACTAACAAATGAATGTGATTATTATTAAAATGACTGTTTTCAGAAATTAACTCGTTCTGAATTTACCTAAGGATAGGGGAAATTCGTGACCGACTGAGCGACTACTAGCTTCTCATGAATAATTCTGCTCCATGTAGCTGGTAGCCAAATATATTTCATTCCTTCCTGATATAGGGATAGATGGAGAAACGACTGCTTGATTGAATCTCCTCTACGCTCCTGTTTGACACGTTTCTTTTATAAATGTAATGTGGCATGTAGAACCGTTGCTAGGCAACGACCGCAAACATTAGCATGTTTCCACTGCAACAACTGCACTGCAACAGAGAAACGGCGTTTTCTGTGCGGCTTGTGTCGAGATGTTATAAGCAGGACGAATTAGAAGCTGTAGTTAGTTAGCAGAGAGAGTTAGCTGAATTGAGTCAGTTGGTTAGTGAGTGAGAGGTAGATAACCACTGGGGTTTAATTTCTGTGAGAAACTGATAGCTGAGGACATGGACAGTACGGAAACCCAGAGGAAGGTGAACGTCCGCCGTTGAAGACGTCACCAAGCAACGACTAGTGAAGACTGTAACAGGCTGAGAAGAGTTAGAATGTCCTATGGTGATTTGTGAAGTGTGTAGAACAGTGAAAGCATAATCATTAACTTGTAGCTACAAGTTGTAAAAGTTCAATAAATCCGATTACCAATCCAAACCCCGTCTGTAATCACACTCATACACGTGACCGTATAAGAAATTTCTGTAAGCTTGAGCTCTCTCACTGTTCAGGGACTACAATATGGTCATGAGCCCCGCAGAACTAGGAACTAAGAATCACTGCGATGGCGAGGGCCAGTAGAAATTTAGCTGTCAGCCAGTCAGCCGGTCGGTCAGTCGGTCAGTCAGTCAGTTTTATCATTGTCATCACGCAATTTCAGGCTACTGTAAAATCGAAATCTTGAGTGTTAACACGCTGCATAAATCCCGTTATGTACAGTAGTACGAGTATGTAACGAACGAGCCAGCAGTCTTTCCTTTCAGTGCATCGCTCCTGTTCTGCGAGTATTTATAATACGTATTTTGATTTGGATATGTGAATTGTTGTATATTATATCACAAAGCAAAAGTAAAAAGACTAAAGTAAAGCTATCCTTGTAACAGGCCGTGGAGGCCTATAGGGTTGTGAGATGTTGAGGTTCCCACATTTTCTAGACAATTGGCTCATAGATGGCGGTAAGGTTGTCAGCCTTATGCGCCGGCCGCCATTTACCCCCCAAGAATATTCCTGGTACTCATTTCTGTCAGAGGCTGAGTCGACCCCAGGGCCATACCTCATCTGGATTCGAACCCACGACCTACGGGTTTGTAGCACAGTGCCTCAACCAGCTACGCTATCACCAAAGACGGTATAAAATTTCTTATTTGTGCATTTTATAGGTGTCAGATGACATTTGACATGGGCCTCGACGTATCAATCGATAACATTTGTGACTGGAAAGGAATACGGGAGAAAGCAGGGGAAGTTGACAGTAGGGAAGCTTATATAGCACATGATGAGAGTTCCCGCTGAAATCTCAATGGACATTAACACTAATTACCTACATCGACGTTTTAATACCTCACTTGTCTACATACAATATGTTTTATTACTACACGTACTTGTTGGGGCACGCAGTAGTGTAGTTGGTTGAGGCACTATGGTACAAGCCGGCAGGTCGAGAGTTCGAATCCTGATGAAGTCATTTGATTCTTCAATTGACCCAATCCTTCTAGCCGCATTATGGTCCTGGGGTTCGACTCAGCCTCTAACAGAAATGAGTATCAGGAGTCTTCCTGGGTTTAAAGGGCGGCTGGCATGTAAGGCTGACAACCTTACCGCCATATGTGAACCGATTGTTTAGAAAATGTGGGAGCCTCGACGTCTCAGAACCATATNTAAAGGGTGGCTGGCATGTAAGGCTGACAACTTCACCGCCATCTGTGAACCGAATTTCTAGAAAATATGGGAGCCCCGACGTCTCACAACCCTATGGGCCTCCACTGNTCACGGCTTCTTTACCGGATATCTTTACCTCTTTTTTAATTTTTATTACAGCTTTTTATCATGATATATTTGCCTTTGACTCTTGTGACAATTTTATAAATTATCAAACAACTTGAAAAATTTTTAACAAGGCCGTTTTCTTGAATTTGATAACGGATTTAATTTCCTTTTTGCCGAAACGCATATAGCCATAACTGGTGATGCGTGTATAACCCCGTCACATAGCATACCCGCCACCTGCCTTGCTCCGTGCTGTTAGATTGTACTGCTGTTCCCTAGTCACAAGCAACGAGCTGAATGGGGCAAGTTCACTTTAGATTTTGAAGGACTATTGCCACGCTTATTGTTAGAACACATAATATATACACAGCACACGCAACCTTCCACAAAACATACTAAGTAAATCCGACCATGTTTTACCTGTGTGACCGACCAGTAACGAATTAATCAAATATACACAGACATCCATGCCTTGCGTGGAATTCGAGCATACGACCCCAGTGCTCGAGCGGGCGAAGAGGGTTCATGCCTTAGACCGCGCGGTCACTCTGATTGGCATTCTACTATAATAATCAGGGCATATTACACCTTGCATTATCAAAATGATGAAATAAAAAAGGGCCTATGTAAGTATGTTCAAATTTCCGGGATCTAGTAATTATCGAGTGATGATCTAACGGTCTAAGTCGCTAATACTTTTTTTTTCCTTGGCACTACAGCCCCAGTGGGCCTAGGCCTACCTCCATGAACTTCTCTGTTCACATCGGTTTTTCTAGATCTTACACATTCGGTAGGACTCCTTGGGCGGGTGATCAGCTCGTCGCAAGGCCTCTACTTGTATACAAACAGAGAAAAACGCACACACACAAACTGAACATCCATGCCCTGAGGGGGATTCGAACCCACGATCCCGGTTTCCAAGCGAGCGAAGACAGTGCATGCCTTAGACCGCTCATCTACCGTGACCGGCTGCTAATACTTGCTACGCGCTTCGTCCTATGTAGATGGAGTGTGTTAATGATTAGGTTACATTTGCAAATAAAGCGGGCCTTAAATAAACTACAATTAGACTGAAAGGTTAAATTTAAAAGACGTACAAGATATGATGTTTCTGTTAAAGAAGCTGATATATTTATAACGTGATGTCTTTGTATACGTTGAGCCGGGATGACGTAGTCTGTATACCGACTCGCTAGGGGCTGGAAGACCGAGGGGTCGGAGTTCGAGTCCCGGTAGGGCTAAGAGCTTTATCATCTCCACATTGTCCAGACCGGCTCTGGAGTTCACCCAACATCCTATACAATGGTGAACGGGGGGTCTTTCCCAGTGGTAAAGCGGCCGGGGGCGTGAAGCTGAGCACTCACCTCCGTCTAGTCCCCATGTCAAGAAAATGTGGATCTGCGCCTTCATGGCGTAGTGCTTAGTTAGTTGAGCACAGGGTCAACTTTACCTTTAACTTATACGTTAAAAAATTAGCTTAGTGGGGGGTGAAGTCAAACTGGGTCCACTCGGGACGGCGGCCACTGATTGGCCTATTGTAGACTGCCCCGGGTGATTATGATGGAGAATTTGGTGGAATGAAGATTGGTAGGGGAAACCTAAATACTCGGAGAAAACCCACCCCAGCGCCACTTTGTCCACCACAAATCCAACTTGACCAGACTCGGGATCGAACCCGAGCCACCGCAGTGGTAAGCCAGCGACTAACCGCTTGAGCTATGGTACGGTTTTACCTTATGCGTTACTGCCAGCAATTACATTACCCGTTGTAGCTATCAGTAGCGTGTTTAAGGAACTACAAGATGGCGAATAATAATGTGGAGATAGACAGTTATTCACCGGCCAAGGAAATACAAGAAACTTGCATGACGTCATGAAATTGGTAAAGACGATACAGACACGTTGTTACAGAGAAATACAACAACGGGAAGAACTGCCGTTACACGATTATAACACCAGTAGAAGGAGTTAACACTCACCTTTGTCCAGAATTATTCCCGTTACCAGAAATCTTCACATTTTCACGACTCTTACTGTGACTACCAGCAAGAAGTGACAACTAGCAATGAAAGGACGGACTTCCGAATTGCCCCATTTAGCTGCATCGTGAATGTTGACAAAACACGAGCTAATATGTAGCAAAAGTATTGCGCCAAAAGAAAAGAACCGACGCTGTGAGTTTTTAACAGAGACAGGTTTGTTTTATCTCGCAACCTCCTACTCACGGTGTCGTACTGAATGTCTAACAGATCGAATTGTTCAGAGACTTTTACGCGTTCAACAAAAACATCCGGAAGAAAGTTAATTCTGGCAAAAATAAACAAGATAAATGTAACTATAATAGATTATGTTAAATTTTATCGCTTATCGGCTTACTATGCATAGAAATACCACGTGGTGTCAAGGGTTTAACGCAGTGCAAGAAAGCAAGTGTATCGCGAGGCGATGCAGTGTTTTCCCACGCGCAGCTGCACTCTCTCACCGAACGAAGGCCCACGCCAGACTGCGCTATCCAGAGGAGCGAGCACGCAAGGCAAGGAGTCAGCGTGTAAGACTGGGTGCGCACCAAGGCAAACGCTGTGCTAACTGCGTCGAAGCGAAATATCAACACGCGTCCTATTTTACCGTCCCGTATCAAATGCCACCAACACACACCACAGTGAACACAGTGTTGTAAGGAAATGTATATTCAAACACAGTTTAAGTTATTGAACTATATTGTTAGCATAAAGTCGTGATCCTTAGGTTGTTAAACGACACTGTATCAGTATCATAGGTTTATAACGTTTAATTTGACAGGAGGACGAAAAACAGAGACAAATAAAGAAAAAGAAATACTATATTCTGAGGCGTTACGTCGTGTATTCTGGTAGAAGTTCAACAACGTTTCAAAAGAACGCATTGCCTCCTTCTTCAGAGTCAAACAGAAAAGCTACACTTAATATTTGTTTCTTGCTTGGGCTGGAGATAAACATAGTATGTTCCTCTGGAAATGACATTAAACGTCTACCCGACTACACGGAATCATGTCAAAGAAGATAGTACTATTCGTAAATAAGGCTGTCTATTAATTAACAGCAAAATAAGTTTAAGTATCCGGAGATATTCATTATTATTAAACTTCAGGAGAGCCAGTGCGTGTGGAATGATGTCAAAAGCAATGCTGAAATCAATATAAATAGAATCACTTTGACGTTGTGAGAAAACTAGACTCACTCACTCATTCACTCATAGAGCTGAGCCCTTCTTGAGAAGCCGCCAATTGTGCAGCTACGCAAGAGCTTCCAGCATTTTATGGAACCCGAAGGTTCATTACCGTGTTCACAAGAATTTTCCACCGGTCCATATCCTGAGCCAGATTAATCCAACCAATATCATCACATCCTATCTAAGATCCGTTTTAATATTGTCCACACACCTATGCCTTGGACTTCAAGGAGGTCTTTTTCCTTCTGGCTTTCCCACCAATATCCTATAGACATTCCTCTTCTCCCCCATTCGTGTTACATTCCCTGCCCATCTCATCCTTCTTGACTTGATCATTGTAATTACACTTACCATGTACTGTCTTCGCTCGCTTGGAAACCGGGATCGTGGGTTCGAATCCCACTCAGGGCATGGATGTTTAGTTTGTGTGTGTGCGTTTTTCTGTGTTTGTGTACAGGTAGAGGCCTTGCGACGAGTTGATCACCCGCCCAAGGAGTCCTACGGAATGTGTAAGATCTAGAAAAACCGAAGTGAACGGAGAAGTTCATGGAGGTAGGCCTAGGCCCGCTGGGGCTGTAGTGCCAAGGAAAAAAAAAATTATACTTGGAGAAGAGTACAAGTTATGAAGCTCCACATTATGCAGTTTTCTCCAACCTCCTGTAACTTCATTCCTCTACGGTGCAAATATTTTTCTCAACACCCTGTTCTCAAACACCCTGGGTCTATGTTCCTCCTTTAATGTCAGAGACCAAGTTTCACACCCATACAGAACGACAGGCAAAATTATAGTTTTGTGTATTCTAATTTTTATGTTTTTGGACAGCAGACAAGAAAACAAAAGTTTCTGGACAGAATAATAGCAAGCATTACCCGAGTTCAATCTCCTCTTAATTTCCTACTGAATCAGGTTAGATTTGTTATAGGCGTTCCCAAATATCTAAACTGTGCCACATTTTCAAAACATCTGTTATCTACCTTCATGTCAGGATTTTGCGAGAAAACTAGGTGGGGTAACAAAATCATGGATGGTAACAGCAGATGTCGATTTGGTTATAGTATTTTGAGAGAAATTAGGCATGGATTGAAATAAGTGTGAAATGTGGTCATGTATGGTGAATTAGAAAACCTTAGCATAATTTTTATAATTAGCTATATGTCTATAATTGCTAACAGAATATTGCATTCTTTTTAAAAGACAGGAACAACTGCTGCTTACTTCCATAAACCAGGAGAAGTAATTTGACATAAACCAAGATTAAAAGTAAACTTGAGAACAGGTACAGAAATTCAGTACCAGTCTGTACAGCAAAACTCGGCAGACAATCTAGTCCGTCTGATTCTGATGGCTACAGCAGTTTTGTAACATTTTGAACAAAGGAGTTTGAAAGAGGAGCCAAGGATAACATTTCAGCACACTGGCTAATGAAAGAAAAATGTTCCGGAACAAATTTTTCTGAAGAGCTTAAAATTCATTTTAATGTGTTTCAATAATATTATATTTGTTTTAAATTTANATTATATTTTTTTTAATTTACATTCATTTCAAATTGTAATAAATATAGTTTTCTATATTTGAGTGGAATATATACTTTCCCAAATTTCTAAAATTTAGATTTTAAATTTCCAACGATAGTTCAAGTCCACGAAGTCTGTCAGACAAAATGGATATTTTAACAAGTTTATGGTAAAAAGAAAAGGGGTCATGAAAACTTCTCGAAACGTGTATAAAAATAATATTTTCTATTTCTGAGCATGAAATTTAATTCCCGCCTAACACAGTGGCCGCGCAATCTAACTCATAAAATGTCTTCTTCCGCTAAAACAGTTGGACCGTGGGTTCAAATCTCACTCGGGACATGGTTGTATGTCTGTTTATTCTGTGTTTGTGCTGCCCTGTGTAGGTAGTGGCCTTGCAACGGACTGATCTCCCATCAAGGGAGCCCTACCAAGTAGTCTATAAGAATAAAATTTCAAATTTAATTAATTCGAAATGGGAACTAACGTGGCAACCTAATCCGTCAAGGGAGAAGAAGAAGAAGAATTTAATTTCCGTGAAAAGAAATGAGAACACTTTTGCTCCTTGATCTTTCCAGACGGATCAGCCAAATCTATGACCTGGAATGCAGAAACGTGATGGGTTCAATCTGATCATATTTTTTTTAAAACAGCCATGTCCGGAAACGCTTCCTTTTGGCACTAAGAGCAACAAATTTTTCGATAGGATGCATAAGTTTTAGGGGATGTTATCTTTGTTTCACATTATAAAAGTTGTTCAAAATGGCTGCTGCCAACTTCGTTGCATGTTCTGCACCGCCTGGCTATGTTATGCTGAACTATGAAATATTCCGGGCACTTCCCGGATGGTTACAGCTGCTACTGCAATTCTTGCCACAAGATCATGTGATGTCTCCACTGGAGTCTCGTACACCAGGCTTTGCATGTACCCCCAGAGAAATAGTTCCAATGGAGGTAAGCCAGGGTTACAAGGAGGCCAGATTATTGCGCCTCCACGTCCAATCCCTCTGTTGCCAAAATTTTCATCCAAAAACTCGCAGACAACATTAGTGCAGTGTACCGGGGCGCCATCATGTTGGAACCATATTTCACGACGGACTTCCAAAGACACCACTTCCAGAAGTTCGGGTAAGGTCTTTGGGAGAAATGTGAGGTAAATATCACCAGTGAGGATGAGGTGGACAGGTCATGTAGCACGAATTGGGGAGATGAGGAATTCATATAGGATAATGGTGGGAAAACCAGAAGAGACCACTGGGAAGACCAAGGCGTAGGTNACATCCAAAAACTCATAGACAACATTAGTGCAGTGTACCGGGGCGCCATCATGTTGGAACCATATTTCACGACGGACTTCCAAAGACACCACTTCCAGAAGTTCGGGTAAGGTCTTTGGGAGAAATGTGAGGTAAATATCACCAGTGAGGATGAGGTGGACAGGTCATGTAGCACGAATTGGGGAGATGAGGAATTCATATAGGATAATGGTGGGAAAACCAGAAGAGACCACTGGAAAGCCCAAGGCGTAGTTTGATGGACAATATTAGAATGGATCTTAGAGAGATAAGATGGGATGGTATGGATTGGATAGATCTGGCTCAGGATATGAACCGGTGGAGGGCTCTTGTGAACACGGTAATGAACCTTCGGGTTCCATAAAAAATGCTGGGAAATTCTTGAATAGCTGCTGAATTGATGGCTCCTCCAGAAGGGCTCAGCTCCATGAATAAGTAAGTAAGTAAGTATGTATAAGGGGTGGGCCTTCTTGGCCCTTGCACCGCGACCACAGTGTAAGTAAGTAAATATCACCAGTAAGCCACAGAGGTAAGAGGTAAGGGCGTCCTCCTCCTCAGTTCAGACGCCCTAGCGCGTAAACAAAGCGTTTCCGAACATGGGTGTACTAAAAATTATGGTCACATTGAACCCATCTACCGCAGAGCGTTGCAACATATATTTATTTACACATATATAGATACATATATAAGGTAAAGGTATCCCTGTAACAGGGTTGTGAGACATTGAGGCTCCCACGTTTTCTTTAGACAATCGACTCACAGATGGAGGTAATAGGGCTGCCGATGAGTACCCCGTCCCCAGCTGAAAGCCTTTCAAAAGATATATCAGATTTTCGTTTAGATTATAACTAAATTAAATTATTTATTATTCATAGGAGTAAGGATAGCTCAGCCGGTATAGCGACAGGCTACAGGCTGGATGGCCCGGATTTCAATTCCCTGCAGTGAAAGTTTTTTATTTTCTCCACAGCTTCCAACCGACTCTGGAAACCATCTAACCTCTTACCCAACGGCTACGGGGGCCTCTTTCCTTGAGGAGGTAAAATGGCACGGGGGGTTGAACTGGCAACTCACCTCTATCTAGTGCCGAGACCAAGAAAGGTGGAGCTGTACCTCCACCCCATGTGTCTTCACGGCGTAGTGCTTAAGTAATTACGCACAAAGATATAACAACAAGAACACTAGCAATAAGCAATAAGGTAATTATAAGAAAACTAAGAACAACAATAATAATGATAAAGATTAATTAAATCTTAATTGCTTCATACACTTCCCTAGTAGCAAAACTTAAGGGACGGGCGAGTTGTGCAGCAGAAACAGACTAACAGATTCATACAACGTAATAACTTATACTCACTTGATTAGAATGAACTAGGGTGCGAAGGTAGGAACTCTGCCAACTTGACAAAGAGGAATTCCAAAAAATGAAAGACAGCACAGCCGGTCTAACTTCACTTGTCATCATGAATTCACAC